TATTGAATTTGTTCTAGTGAGTAGAATCATTACCTTCAGGCTTTTTGCTGTAAACACAGTCTTTTCAGAGAAAATGCAGTGTTTACATTACAGCCTAGTGATACCTCCACTGGCCACTCCTCATATGGCTGTTAGAGATCCTTCCTGGGTCATGGCTGCCTAAAATGCATCCAAACAGTCAGTGTCTCCTCCCTCTGCATGCATACACTGAACTTTCCTAATCGAGATTAATTGATTCAATTCATCTCTATGTGGAGATGCTGATTGCCCAGTGCTGTGTTTGAATCATGCTGGCTCTGCCCTTGATCTGCCTCTCTGTCAGTCTCAGCCAATCCTATGATGTCAGCAGACAGCTTGTTTTTCTGAGGCAAACAGCATGCAGAGGTACAGCTTGAATACAAGTAAGATTTTGCTATATTTATGGAGGCATGAGGGCCCAGATGGTGGTTTTAACACTAATAGGATCAGGAATAAATGTTTGTGTTTCTGACTCTATAGTGATCCTTTAAATTTATTTTTTTTTTTTATTTATTTTTTTAACGGCAGTAGATCTGCCAGAGCTTTAATTAATTCTTATCAAACTAGATGGCTTTTAGGTTTGTACTTTTTCCCCTATGGCAAAGCTGTGTTTTCAGTGGGAGGATAAGGGCTGTTGAGGTATTTCAGTCACTTCTTAAGTTACAAATTTTTTATTCATGATCTCTGTAACCACCTAGAATTACAAAGCGCGGCCTTTGGATAGAAAATCTTTGTTCTATTCCAATGTATTCAAAACTATGAGTATTAAAAAAAAAAAAAAGGGAACGTGCTGGTATTAAAGCTGGTCGTGATTCACTGGATACACATTCAGATAAGTTTTATTAAGCAAAAATTGATGTAAAATATATAATGGTTTTTAAGTTTATTTCCACCAGAAAGGTTCTGTACACTACTGTTTGATGTACACAATGCCTGTACATTGTTATCAGCATCCATCACTTGTACAGTGTGTGCAGTTCCTTCGATGAAAGGAGGACTGCTAGAATAGACAGAATAGTTATTTATCTATTGCAGCATGATGACAGGCCCGGCACAATCTGCCTGTTCAGAGACATTGAATGAATACTACGCAGTCTACTTCATCTATTTTTATTTCTTTGCAGCACAGCTAGTATACATCAATGATGGGAGTGATTTGAGCCCTAGCAGGCTAGACCATGTACTATCCACTGGGCTTGTGTCCCGAGCATTTTTGGTCTTACATAATTTCCCAGAATAGATGCCACAATGGTGTTTTAATAATGGGTGTCTGATGAAATTTAGACGGGGCAGCATTAGATTATACTCCCAGATATAACCTTCCTGCCTGACTTGTTGGGCTTTGAACATTAAAACTTATGTACTCAGGCACTGACACAACAATGAGATATCATACCTTTTTCACACATGTATCTAAGAAACAACACGTACTCTAAAGAGTTTACATTCCACCCCCCTGATGCAGTTACTTAGTGACCGCCTTAGAATACAGTACAGTATACCTCCCAATTGTCCCTATTGCTACCAAATTCTTCTTTCGCTGTTATTAATGTCCCTCTTTTCTCTGAGCTACATATTGTTGGTGTGTTT